GAAGTCCAAGACAAGTTACAACCTGCCAGTAGACATGCTGGGCTTTGTCCTGGCCAAGAAAAACCAGATCCAGGTCAGCGACATTGACTACAGACGTTACCTGCACCAGTGGACTTGTCTGCCCGACCAGAATGATGTCATCCAGGCCAAGAAAGCCTATGAGCTCCAGAGTGACGTAAGTTTATGCTAACGATTGCAGGAAATGAAAATCATAATGACCTTTTTGAAGAAAAGAGGATTGGCATACGTTGATGAAACAAAACCTGCCCGTTTTTCCTATGTAGCTGGCAAGAATCAGTTTTTATTGCAAAATCCCAGATTAAATCTATAATCTGTAAAAGTATTAAGAAAGGCAAACAAAAATATTTTCCTTGAACATTTCTTAAGTATTTTCCTTCGGCTAATACGTGTGCTATTTTCTTTCCCCAGGCTGTGTACAAGGCAGATATGGAATGGTTGAAAGGTATTGGGTGGGTCCCTATTGGTTCGCTGGATGTGGTGAAAGCAAAGAAGGCTGGAGAGATTCTGAGTGACCGTCTTTACCGTCAACACCCAGACACCATTAAATTCACCAGTGTTACTGACTCATTGCCCATTGTCCTCGCCAAGAGTAATGCGCTGAATATGAATGATGTAAGTGGATAGGTGACCTGTTTTGGTGACCTGTTTTGGGAAGACATACTGTTCACAACTGAACTTGAAGTTTTCGTGTTATCATTCGATGTTTCTTTACAGCGCCTTTACAAAGAAGCTTGGAATAAGGACAAAACTACCATTCATGTGATGCCAGATACTCCAGAAATTGTTTTAGCAAAGGCCAACTCTGTAACTGTCAGCAAGGTAATGCTCAGCTCTTCTTTTGATTGCTTTTCTTGTGCTTAAATATGATGGGAAGAAATGCACTTTTATATTTCAGTGAACATCTGATCTTTATCATGACTCACAGTTGAACTTAAGCTTTCTGTTAGATGACAGCTTGTAAAAAGAAACATCTGTACATACAGTATGTATGCTTATACAAAACAAATATATTTACAGTATGCTGTACATAGACTTGAACATAAACATGGTATAACAAATACTGTATATAATGGACCAAAGAATAATCCATGCACTTTTCTTCATTTCCAGATGTATTGTGAAGGTAGCATGTCTGATTTCATTTTCACACCTGGAGGTGCCCATCACAGTCTGAAACAATACTAACAAGCTTAATGTTATGTTTGCAGAAAATTTACAAGCAGGACTATGAGGATTCTCTCAAGAAGGGCTATGACATGAGAGCAGATGCCATCCCAATTAAAGCTGCCAAAGCTTCCAGAGATATTGCAAGTGATGTAAGTACCTTTTGCATCTGAGCCATGGAAAGCTGCATATGAGAGCTGCACTGGGATTTTGAAGAGCCATCCTCCGCAACGGACCTTACTTCATGTTTGTTGTGAACCTTCATGGTAGTTATGAATGACCATAGTAAAGTCAGTATCAATGCTTTGCTGCCTGCAAACATTTACTAATGGATACGTAATTGTGACTTAATTTATCATCCCTATCAAGTGTCTTTCCATTAGTTTGGAGATCCTTAAGACCTGAAAAAGCATAGGCTGAAGACATTTTGAACTGATATGATGTCATTGTAAACCTTGTTAAAGCTGTATTAGCACCATATACTGTAGTACATGTATGCTTACTGTAATAGCTACATCACAGGTGATTCTTCTCCCTCTCTGCAAAACTGGAGGCTTTTTGGGGACATTTATATAATAAGAAACAATACTGCTACTACAGGTTTATACTAAAATACAGTAACTAGAAAGTTTAATAATAAAAAATTGAAAACAATATATTAAAGTGATAAACCAGCCTTCACTAGTGACAGCTTTTACTTTTCTTCAGTACAAGTACAAGGAAGGCTTCCGCAAGCAGACCGGACACCACATCGGTGCCCGCTGCGTCAAGGACGACCCCTTGCTCATGCTGGCCCTGAACGCAGCCAAGATCGCCAGCGACGCCGAGTACAAGAAGGACTTCCAGAAGTCCAAGACCAAGTACAACCTGCCAGTGGACATGCTGGGCTTTGTGTTGTCTAAGAAATGCCAGATCCAGGTCAGCGACATTGACTACAGACGTTACCTGCACCAGTGGACTTGCCTGCCCGACCAGAATGATGTCATCCAGGCCAAGAAAGCCTATGAGCTCCAGAGCGATGTAAGTCCTGTATTGAAGAACTTATTTTCCATTCTGCTTATAGAGCTCAGGTGTGATTTTACCTGTAATTTTAAGATCTTCTGACATGCTGGGGTGTTATAGGCTAACTTTAACTAAAAATTCTGATATAAATTCTAAAGCTCAAAAATACTGTATACAGAAGACGATAGAGGCAGAGTGATGTAAGTTCAAACTGAAGTGTTGAAGATATGAAGAGCATTTGTCTTGTACAGCATAATAACACTGAACATTAATGTATCATACTGTTTTATTTATTATTCCTAGTGAAGAAAATTTCCTTCATTGTTCTTTGAAGCAAAATAAATAATTATTTAATACAGAACTCTGTTCATTCAGCCTGAGGCACACTATTTCTTCCATGTAAAATGCTTGAGTGAAATATGATTTTAATACATACAGTATAATTGCTAAAATGAATTATGAGCTTTTACAGTTCATGAAAGACTCTTCATCTTAAAATTTGTTTAAAAGAAGATTTTGAAAAATACAGAGTAAAGGAGTTAACAATATATCACAGAGGGTTCATGTTACTAAAAGCTTTAAGATGTCTCAAAATGTTCTTATCCAGAATGCAAGTAAGCACCATTTGATGAGTATTATAAGTAGTCAAGATGGATTTATTAAATTCATTATGTAGTTTAATTGCATCTCTAAAAACTTCATCCCTGACTGAAAAAGTCTTTTAGTGAAAGCAGAAAATCAAAACCGTCCCCTTGATCGGAAATAGCTCCATTCATGTTCTTCATGGAATAGAAAGGCCTACACTGGCTTAATCAGTTCCATGTACAGATCAAGAGAGCTGCCCAAGGACAGTGAGCCCATCAAAACTCTCTATAAAAGAAATGAGAATTGGAACCAAAAGAATGTGTTGTGTTTTCAGTGCCTGTCAGTATATACAGTACTGTTCTTACAATATGTGTATATATGTGTGTGTCCTTTTTCTGTGTCTGTTATCCAGGCTGTTTACAAGGCTGACATGGAATGGATGAGGGGTGTGGGATGGGTCCCCATTGGCTCTCTGGATGTTGAGAAAGCCAAGAAAGCTGCCGAGATCCTGAGTGAGAGGAAGTACCGCCAGCATCCCAGCAACTTCAAGTTCACAAGCAAAATGGACTCAATGCCAATCGTTCTGGCTCAGGCTAATGCCAAAAACATGGACCAGGTATGCAACCGTGTTAACCATTAGAGCACAATCTGCTAGAAATTAAACAAAAACATAAAATATATTTTTTAGCTCTCTTAATGGAAAGGAAAGTTTGATTTGTTTTATCTTTAGGTAACGACGTGAACCTTGCAGATTTTGAAACAGTAAATTAAGTTTGTATAATACACGCTGGGTACAATTAAATACAGACTGCAAGTTGCAGAAATGATATCATTGCTATTTATATCATGCATTTCATTTCAAACCAAAGGGATTCTCCAACTGTAGAATGGAACTGGTTAGTCACACCTGGAAGGGTAAATCATCTAAACATCTGACTTCATCTGATCATCTGAAGTGCAGAAAAATATTAAAAACTGACTGTAACAAAGTTTTCCGTTATGACCATCCTTAAAACCTCTACATGTTTTAGATATTATGTTTGTAATTTTACTTTTACTTACTTACTTTTTTCAGTGCTGTGATCTTTGAGCAAAACATCAGAATTGGGAAGTTTTGTTTTCTTTAGGGCTTTAAAATGGCACTATTGAAAAGCGGATTTGTTTTCCTTGTGTTATGTTGTACTGCATTCTCTCTTCCAGCGTCTGTACACTGAGGCATGGGATAGAGACAAGGTCCAGATTCATGTCATGCCTGATACTCCTGAAATTATCCTTGCACAACAGAACAAAATCAACACAAGTCAGGTGGGTGAACTGAATGTTTTAGGATTCAAGAAGTAACTACAGTAAGACAATATTGTATAGTAGGGGTTTCATTTTAAATGTAAGAATATGTATTAACATGTCTAAGTTTAATGGGCTTTGATCACACACTCATGTTGTGCATCTCTTCGGAGATCATGTTTAAACAGTGAATAGTTTGTCTAGTGTATCTGGATGTATAGACACATTGTAGCAATTATAAGTAGTGAATGCTACAATGGTGTCCCACCGTGAACACCAATAACATTCAGGTCTCAAAGAGACCTTCTTTTTGGCCTCATGGGCATCACACTTACTTGGAATGTACTGTTTGGACACTTGAGATTGTGTCCAGAGGGATGGTCTGACCAATATACTGTACATCACACTTCTTATTTGTATTAGCTACTTCTGTGGTATTGTCAGGATATTTTATTCCCTTGGTTGTTGACCTTGATTAATGGCATTTTTCATTCATAATGATCAATCTTCGGCTTCATCTTCATTTATAAAATTAAATGTTCCTTTCTCAGAAACTGTACAGGCTTGCCAACGAGGAGGCTAAGAAGAAGGGCTACGATCTGCGTGCAGATGCCATCTCCATCAAGGCTGCCAGAGCCTCCAGGGACATCGCCAGTGATGTGAGTTTTCTCGAGCCTTTGTGAAAGAGAGATTTTTAAAATAAAAATAAAAGTACTTCGAAGTTCTGCTTTGTACTCCATTGAATGCATCCCACTGATCTGTTGCAGTACAAGTACAAGGAAGGCTTCCGCAAGCAGACCGGACACCACATCGGCGCCCGCAGTGTCAAGGACGACCCCTTGATCATGCTGGCCCTGAACGCAGCCAAGATCGCCAGTGACGCCGAGTACAAGAAGGACTTTGAGAAGTCCAAGACAAGTTACAACCTGCCAGTGGACATGCTGGGCTTTGTGTTGTCTAAGAAATGCCAGATCCAGGTCAGCGACATTGACTACAGACGTTACCTGCACCAGTGGACTTGCCTGCCCGACCAGAATGATGTCATCCAGGCCAAGAAAGCCTATGAGCTCCAGAGTGATGTAAGTTCAAGCTCACCAAAGCAGCTAAGTAAAATGTAGACAGACTGAATGTCTCAAGATTTTTTTCAACTGGATCTTATTGAACCCTGTACATGAGTGCTCTTGTATCAGCAAAGCTGTCATGTAATACTGTTCTTTGGAGAAAAACTTTGATTGTTAAGTTCAATGCAATGTCATAGTGCCTTCAAAAGAAAGAAAAAGAGAAGAACCGGCCCTCCCTGTATCTGTGTTTCAGTGGGTGTACAAGAGTGACCTGGAATGGGTTCGAGGATGTGGCTGGATGCCAAACGGTTCCCTGGAAGTGAACAAAGTGAAGCGTGCCCAGGAGATCCTGAACGATCGACTCTACCGGCAGCACCCCAGCACAGTCAAGTTCACCAGTGTGGTTGACCTGCCTGCCATCGTATTGGCTAAAAACAATGCCATCCAGCTTAGCGATGTAAGGGCTTTCTACTCTCTTCCTTACAGCCTGCAGCCCACGTGATGGGTCTGTCTATTACAATTGTTAAAATCTATTATCATTAAAGATATGTGTGTCAGACATGTCGTTTTTAGTCTATTATTATACTAGAGTTATGCATTGAAGATTTGCTTTATTTTGAATTAATCTGTATAAGCAAACTAACAAACTGCACAGTATGTGCCCTACAGAAGCTTTAGGGATCCTGTAAAATTGATTCTTGGTGGCCCTAATGAATTTTCTCTGTTTGATTTCCTTTTTCCAAAAGCTGAAGTACAAGGAGGCGTGGGAGAAAGAGAAGACTATTAGTCACGTGATGCCTGATACACCAGCTATCGTACTGTCGAGAGCAAATGCAATCAATGTCAGCCAGGCAAGTACAATATAGTATTTTTGTACTTCAAAATTATTGATCTGTAGCACTGTAGCTAACACAAAAACTGGCCTTGATGTTTGTGGTTTGTTACGGATATTCTAGATTCAAGTCAATTTGAATTAGGATTTCTAGGGGAGAAAAAGAAACAACAACAACCTACTGTTTTACTATATCCTATTTCTAATTTATTATTACGTGGGTTTTTTTCCCCATTGTAACAGTTTGTTGAGGTTCTAAACCCCTTTAGTAGGACTCTGTGGCTATTGTCGCAGGCCTTTGCAGCAGTCCAGGCCCTCGTGGGGTGGAAATGAAGCAGATGTTGCCTAGAGACCGTAAATGCCGTTAAATGTGTAGACTGCGGCAAGAGTCAAAAAGGTCATCACGGAACTTCTATATGCCCGAGCTCTTTTGCATCTGTGGATTAAACAGGCACCTTTTCCCCTTTCGGGGTTTTCCAAGCTTTGTAAAGTCTTGCCTCACATTTCTCACATTGCGTTGTCACAGAAACTGTACACCCAAGCGTGGGATGAGCAGAAGGCCAAAGTATATAACATCAAGGAAGATGCTATCTCCGTTCTGAAGGCCAAGGCTTCTAGGGACATTGCAAGTGATGTGAGTGGAAGCTTCTTGAGCTGTCTTGGATTGTTTACATTTTACAAGACACCACTAGACAAAATCACACATTCTGATTTGTCCTGTTTCATCCGTACCTAATGTGCAGTACAAGTACAAGGAAGGCTTCCGCAAGCAGACCGGACACCACATCGGCGCCCGCAGTGTCAAGGACGACCCCTTGCTCATGCTGGCTATTAATGCTGCCAAGATCGCCAGCGACGCCGAGTACAAGAAGGACTTTGAGAAGTCCAAGACCAAGTACAACCTGCCAGTGGACATGCTGGGCTTTGTGTTGTCTAAGAAATGCCAGATCCAGGTCAGCGACATTGACTACAGACGTTACCTGCACCAGTGGACTTGCCTGCCCGACCAGAATGATGTCATCCAGGCCAAGAAAGCCTATGAGCTCCAGAGCGATGTAAGTCCTGTATTGAAGAACTTATTTTCCATTCTATTTAAAGAGCTCAGGTGTGATTTTACCAGTAATTTTAAGTTCTTCTGACATGTTGGGGTGTTGTAGGCTAACTTTAACTAAAAGTTCTGATATAAATTCTAAAGCTAAAAAAATATACAGAAGAAGATAGAGGCAGTGTGCTCAAGAATTATGCAAAGTAAATCCTCTAATGCTCTACTCCCTCTCTGTTAATTCTGAGAAATATTTTCAAAGATAATTCACATTGAAATAGTTATTTATGATTGCAAGTTTAAACAGAAGGCAAGAGACAGTTACAAAGAAATTAAAGTGTGCTTTTGATTTAAGCTTCCCCTGTGAGTGAAGTTTTAGAACTATTTGTTTTTGCTCCCAGAAAATATACTTTTACTGCTTTATTTTTATGGTTTTGTGAGCCATTCACATGTAAATAATGTGTTTCGATTACTTATGATTTCATCCCTGTTTGGAGAAAAGCATGGGTGCAGTCAAAAATCGATAAAAAGCCCTAGAAAACCTTTTCTCATACGTTTAGCAGATGCCTCATGAGCAATAAGCAGTTTTTGTTCTGAATGGGAAAGAAAGTAATGGGCATTGCAAAAATCTCACATGAGGGAGTGTGTCGATCTGCTGTTGCCAGGCAGTGTACAAGGCAGATCTGGAATGGCTGAAAGGAATTGGCTGGATGCCGAACGATTCCTTGGATGTCAAGAAAGTGAAACACGCGCAGCACATCCTCAGTGATGTAAGTACCTCTAGTATGTTCCTCTCTCTCCGTTTTAAAACCATTTTCACTGATCGTTACTGAAGGTGTTGGAAACAAACGCATCAGTAAGATCACACTAACTAACACGTGCTCGCAAGTTCTTTTTAGCCAGTTTTCTTCTCTTCTGCCTTCCTCCCAGCTTGAATACCGGACGAAACTGGACACCCTGAAGTTCACGCCCGTGGTTGACAGAGTCGACTATGTGACAGCAAAGCAGGCAGCAGAGATTCTCAATGACGTGAGTAACGCTTTTGGTAGGAATTCATAGGGCTGTGTGACAGGAGCGGCTCTGCTGTGCCCCTCCTGGGGTCAGATCCTGGTCACCTGTGAGCTGAGGGGTCTTCTGCTGCAGCAGATTTCTTCATTGTCCGGGTTTGTAGGAGGCTTTCTCATGGCCTCTGTTACACCTAGAAAAAGAGGAACTCCACACTGTGGTGAAGTCATTCATCTCTACTCATAGTCTGGAATATATGGCCACACACTGACTGTGATGAGCAGCTATGTGACAGAAACAAGAAACACCGGTCCTTTCGTCTTCATTGTGTTTGACTGATCAATAACTTTTACTGCGTGTCTCTTTTCTAGTGCTTACTGTAAGCGCAGTTGTCCAAAAATGAAAAACGAAGTAGCAAGTTAAACATTTTGTGTTCTTTTAGTATTTATTCTTAATATAAATATATAAGCTTTAAAAATAAAATGCTGTAGCTGTTGTAATGGCCAGAGCTATTCCATTTGTGCACGAGGTCAGTCATTTCTATAAAATGGGTCGGAAAGTTTGTGATAATGGGTCCTGGGAGTCAGGAACAAGTTACCCACCTGTGTTGGCAAAGATGATATCCTGGCTTCTTTCAAGATCCCAAGGGATTAGACCTTCGAATCAATTAAATGTTAGCTGTCAAACAGGCCTGATAGGCTGAATAGGCTCCTCTACTTCGCAAACTTTCTTACGTTCTTGAAATCTGGCCGTTTCTTCCTCCGCAGCCTTCATCGGAGGACTGTGTTACGCCGATGGGCTGGTAAAAACCCAACAAGTGATTAACTGGATTGTGTTTGTTTTTCAGGCTAAGTATCGTGAAGCGTGGGAGACCGCCAAGACCAAGTACACGATGTTGGACACACCACTTCTGGCGACGGCAAGAGAGGCAGCCAAGAACATCAACCAGGTACTGTAGATGGGTTTGCCACTCATCTTACTACAGCTACAGCTGGCAGGTGGCAGCTGGATGCAATGCTGTAGGTCGTCAATGCATCCAATGAAGGCAAAGCTCATTTATACTATATTATATACTATATATATTTTTTTAATTATTTTTATCATACTATCTACAGTTCCTATGTGGACACAAATAAGGCATACAGTATATATTTTATACAGTGCTTTTAAAGCAAATTTATGACATGTTGCCATAATCAACATGCAATCTTACTACTGTGATGTGGTAGCTTTTGATTTTAATATGTGTTTCATAATGTATGTTTTTACATATTTTTTTACAGGGTCACTGTCTAATCTGTTTGCCAAACGGTTGTAAACATATGCAAAAACTTGTCCAATATAGACTGTATAATGAATTGCTGTGTATATTTGGACTAATTCACTTTTATTTCACACCAGAAACTGTACAAAGAAAGCTGGGACAAGGAGAAAGCTACGAGTTACTTCATTCCACAGGACTCTGTGGAAATCAAACACGTTAAGCACAGCCAGGGCATACAGAGCAATGTAAGTGATGCACAGATTTTGAAGAAAAAGGTTGTCTGACATCATATGTAGAGCTAAGATCAATTTTGAGCCCATTACGTATAGTAGACAATACAGAAAGAAAGAAACCATATGATTTTAATCATTTCTTCTGACTGTTCATAATAGTACGGTGTGATATATTTATTTTAAATGAGTAGGCAAGAGCTGGGTAATTTTTTCTTTTCATAATTTTCTTTTATAGGTTGTTCTAAAAAGAGGAAATATGTTTTAGTATTTTAGAATTTGGATTCAGAGTTGAACTAGTCATGGATGCCACATTCATTATAACAGTCCTACTCAGAATCACCTGTGTTCCCTGGTTTACAGTACAAGTACAAGGAAGGCTTCCGCAAGCAGACCGGACACCACATCGGCGCCCGCAGTGTCAAGGACGACCCCTTGATCATGCTCGCTATTAATGCTGCCAAGATCGCCAGCGACGCCGAGTACAAGAAGGACTTTGAGAAGTCCAAGACCAGTTACAACCTGCCAGTGGACATGCTGGGCTTTGTGTTGTCTAAGAAATGCCAGATCCAGGTCAGCGACATTGACTACAGACGTTACCTGCACCAGTGGACTTGCCTGCCCGACCAGAATGATGTCATCCAGGCCAAGAAAGCCTATGAGCTCCAGAGCGATGTAAGTCCTGTATTGAAGAACTTATTTTCCATTCTATTTAAGTAAGTACTGCATAATCAATATGGAAGAAGCACTTAGATTCCATCTTTTTTAACAGCGGATTTTAGGAGTGCTTTTGCCTCTAATTTTAATATCTTTTGACATGCTGGGCAAATGTTATGGGTTAATTTGATTTTTTGTTAAAATCCACCATGAAATCTACAAATCCTGACATTTCGTGATTTTGAGGATCACGAAAAGGAAGACTGAGGTGCTGCGGTGTGCCAGGGAACTGTACAAAGATATAACCTTGCAAAACTCCCTCCTTGCTAATTCTGAGAAGTATTTTCAAAGTCATTTATACTGAAATTGAAACTGCTACTGTAACTCACAGAAATGAAAACCAGTATGCTTTTAAAATATCATTAAGACCACTCACGTTCATTAAATCAGCTGAATAACATTTCGATTTATAAAGTGTTTAAAGTTCTTTGTTGTTGTTTTAAACTGGATGGATGATGTGTGCACGTGCCAGCGCATCAGATGTGCAAAGATAAAAGACTGAGTGTCGAATGAACGGTTGATGGTGTGAAAAATCTCCAGGTGCTGTTTTATGAGTGTGATGTTCTTTGTTCCAGTTTGTTTACAAATCGGATATGGAGTGGATCCGTGGATGTGGGTGGGTTGCTCTGGACTCAGTGGATCACCAGAAGGTCAAGAAAGCTCAGGAGATCCTGAACGATGTAGGTTCAAGTCTCACAACATAAACTTTCCATTTGAAATGAATCCATTGCTTTAAAACATATTTTATTATCAAGACTAATCACCATTTCTTTTCTCATTTTTTGAAATTTTACAGAGAGCCTACAAGAAAGGCGCTAAAGAAGGCTTTGCAAAGTTCACGCATGTTGTCGATCGTCCAGAAATCGTTCTTGCCAAGATAAATGCCGCAAATCTCAGCGACGTAGGTGTCCTTCAAATTTCCGAGAGAGGCCGCTGACTTTCCTAAATTGGAAGTGGTTCCCCTCACCAGTAACCTTGTGTGTTCTGGTCTTGTTCTCTGTCTCCGTAGCTGAAGTACAAAGAAAGCTTCAATCTGGAGAAAGGTCACTACATTGGATCAGAAGACACGCCCCAGCTGGCTCACTCCAGAGAAGTGGCCAAAATCATCAGTGAGGTATCGCATGCATGGTGTTGAAGCACAGCCACATCCGCAAAGGAAAAAAGACTTAAATACGTACTTTCAGTCGTGAAGTGAATATGATAGAATGTATTTGCACAATATAAACCTTGCAATTTTTTACCTTTTTTTTGCATTGTGTTATACAAGTTATACAATCCATATAGTAATAATTCTTATTAAGGTATGCTGAGAATCAAAATACAAAACTTTGTAATCTACGTTTAAAGAAAAATAAGGTATACAGGTTTCGGAAATTGATTATATCCTCTAGGCGCCATTGTGATTAATGGGTGCAGACCCTCTGTTGATCAACTCTGCTGATAAAAATAAACAATCATGATTGTCCATTGCACCTACCGAAAATTCATTGTCATGTCCCAGGCAACTTTGTTGAATTACCAGTTTTAAATCATGTTTCTTTTTATCCTTTGTATATTTAGGTATAAAATACTCTTTTGGCTTTCTAAGTAAATCTAACGGCATTTGAACAAAAGGGAATTTACTATAGCTCTACTGTTATTGTGAATAGTGTGAAAAATATTTGGATCTGCTGAAGCAGTGTTTATGTCTCTTGAATTTCCCATTGTGTTTTGCGCCTGTCTGTTTTTTGCTGTTTTAATCAATCGGACTGTGTTGTCTTGGCTGTAGAAAGTGTACAAATCAAACTGGGATGGAACCAAAGCCACGAGCTATCAGCTGCCTCCTGATCACCTACCACTAGTGGGCGCCAAACACACAAAGCAGATTGTCAGCGATGTGAGTTGATATTCCACTCTGATAAACTCCTTCTGTTTGCTTAACTCAATTGGAGTATTATATAGTACAGTATAATATTCCTTTATAGTTATCATAGCACCAAAATTAAAATAAATTCCTTTGGTTTAAAAACATGGCAATGATTAATATACACTGTTTTTATCAGCTTTCTTGCTTATTTTTTCTTTTTATTATAAGAGTACAAACTAAAACATGTAGGAATTGAATACATTATGCTCACGGTTGTAAAGAGATCTGAATGTGCTCCGCTCATTCACTAACCCCAATGAAGGGTGTAATCTCATTGGGTTATTAGAAATATTTTATTTTCTTTTTAGATTAAATACAAAGAAGCTCATGAAAAGGCCAAGGGTCACTATCTGGCTGGAAAGGACATCCGTGACTTCCCTAATGTTGTCCATTCTTCTGCGATAGAGAAGATGAAGAGTTTGGTAAGTCTGTCTGTCTGTGTCTTTTCAGTAAATTAAGTGGTAAGAGTTACTGTAAGTAGTATTTATTCCAGTAATGCACATTCCTTACTCTTGAAACACTACAACCCTGGAAGCTGCTACTCATATCTATCTCTCAGTTTGTCCCTGTAGACCCATTTCTCGACCTGTCTGTCTCTTCTATCTGTGCCGCTTTCTCATTGCTGTTTTCTTCATGTTATGTTGAATCAGATGACCTACCGGAAGGCTTATGATGAGTCCAAGACCAAGATCCATATTCCCTTCGACATGCTGAGTCATGTGATGGCCAAGAAGTGCCAGCATATCCTGAGTGAGGTTGAATATCGCCAGCGCCTGCACCAGTGGACGTGCCTGCCCGACCAGCACGATGTCATTCACGCCAGGAAGGCCAACGAGATCTTGAGCGATGTAAGATCTCTCATGTTAGATCTTGATTTCACACAGGAAGATTGTTCCGCGTTTGCTAACAGCTTACCCAGTGCATCCGGGTTAGTGACTCCTGTTGACCTCAGCTGCAGTGATGTGGTGTGATACGGTGATTATTCAGGCACAGTTTAGAAACATGGACAATCCTACCTAAATACGCAGCATGAGGAGGTCACTGGCCCATTTACAATAAGTCTCAACAATACAAAAAGTTGAACTTACTTACTGTACCTAAGTTGACAGTTTCAGGTTACGGATATGCTGATCATATGATTTTAGGCGCATCACTGTTATATTGTTAATAACAAGGTTTATTCGTTTTGGACCTCTGTGAACCTCTGCAGGTGTTCTATAAAGAGGACCTCACCTGGCTGAAGGGGGTTGGCTGCTACGCCTGGGACACCCCTGAAATTGTCCGCGCCAAGAAGTCCTATGACCTCCAGAGTGAAGTAAGTGTTGCTCTGCAGTAAGGCTGCGCACACCAGGGTCCTGCCAGCACAACCTGATCCTATGAAAGCAGGATGTATTTCCTTCCTTTACTTTGGCTTGCTAACAAGGCCTCCACAGTGAAGTGCTTATCTAGATCCACAGAGAAGTGATTATCTAGATCCACAGTGAAGTGATGATCTAGATCTCAGTCTTTGGGCTGGATTTATGCAACCTGTTACCTATCCTTGTGGGTTAAACTAGCCCACCTCCGTTTGCCTCATCCAGTGCCCCGAGATTAGTATCAGTAGCACAGCTCTGTGATTACTATGTAAGTTGTCTTTTCCTAATGGCTTTCTTTTTGTAATTGCAGCTTCTCTACAGGGATGCCGGTAAAAAGGAATTCAAGAATTTCTCTGTTGTGACTGATACCCCAGTCTATGTAACTTCGGTTACAGGATACATACAAGCTAGCGATGTAAGTCATGTAATGGAAATTCCTGCATGGCAATGTGAGATTTTTAATTTTGTGCAGAAAGTGCTGTCATTAAGTGTCAGGACACTTAATGCTACATGATTAGACTTGAAGACTGTGTCTGAGGGACGGTTAGCACTGTTCTTGGGTCCTGGGACAGATTCTGGAAGGGGATGCCTTCCATACAGAGTTTGCATATTCTGCCCTTGATTTTTCGGGGGGGGGGGCTACCGGTTCCCTTTCATCCCCCAAAGACATGCCGGCTAGACTGATTGGTATCTCTAAACGTGCTTGAGTGTGTGGGTCTGTATATGAGCTCTGGGACAAATTGCCATCTCTAAACGTGCTTGAGTGTGTGGGTCTGTATATGAGCTCTGGGACAAATTGCCATCTCTAAACGTGCTTGAGTGTGTGGGTCTGTATATGAGCTCTGGGACAGATTGGCATCCCATCCAGAGTGTAGTTGCGGGTCACTCCCAGTACTTCTAGAATAGACTGTGACGCTTGCCAGAAATATGCAGCTTTCTGATAAAGGATAAATGTTAGCACCGGATTTTTTTTTCATCCACAGATTTCAATAAAATGTATTGATTTATTCAGTTGTTTTAAACAACTCTTTTTTTCAGTTACACTACAGAGAGGCTTATCACAAGAGCAAAGATAAATATACCACAGTTCTGGATACAGTTGACTATGCGAGAACCCAAGGCCTGAAGTCCCTGTACAGCAATGTGAGTTTCTGAAGATTTTCCCAGTTTCCTCAAAATCGCACGTCTTTCCTTGCATTTTAAAAACAACATTATTGTTTATTATTAAAAATGTTTTTTTTAAGCATTTAGTACCAGGGTGGAGAGATAGGGCCTGTATGCCTCATTGTGAATTACACCGGGTTTTTTTCCTTCATTGTTTTTTGTGAGATAAGTCTTAATAAACATAAAATTTATTTCCAGAAAACATACACGGATGTCTGGGACAAGATCAAAGCAACGAGCTATAAACTGCCTTCAGACTCCTTCTCTTTGGCTATTGCTAAAAACCAGAAGAACATCACAAGTGCTGTAAGTAAATCGTAACCAAAAAAGCTCTTCACAAACATAAAAAATTTCCAGGGTTTATAATGTCAGGTAATTGATTCCAGAATGGTTTTATATAGCATTTCTTGGATATTTGTGCTAGCCATCTTCAGAGTGAATGTGAAAGGTTAAACTGAATATTGTCTGCCTACTTATGGCCTTAGTGAGACCCTCACTCTGCTGCTTGAGGTGCCCCACTTACAAAGCCCGGAGATTCTTATCTTTCCTTCTTATCAACTTGCTACATGAGACAATGATATCTCTAGTACTTGAACTTTTAAGCTGTAAACTTTTAACTACTTTTAAACCCTATTATTATAGTGCTTTCCTTCCCAACAACATCAGTCAGAATTCCTACTTTTGTATGCTCTAAAATTGTTTGTCTGGAGTGGTTGGTGATTTATTGGCTAAACCTGGGTGTAGATGAGCTATAGGAACTGTATTTGACACAGAATGTTTCTTTATCTACGAAGACAATACCGTTGGTGTGATGGTGATGGGACCAAGTACCGTCGCCAGGATCTCTGGAAATATACAATACAAAATGTGTTACTTGTGCAATGTTTGGTCTTCTTGGGACAAGAAGACTTCGGCTGAGACAAATTTAGATTCTTATTGCAATTTTCCTATCGGCATGCTGTAATCTTTTCTTCATTGCTTGCCTACAAGGAAAAAGGCCAGCAGTGTTAACGATAGCTTTTTGATTCCTTCCAGCTGAAATACCGTGAGGACTATGAGAAGTTCAAGGCCCTGTACACCTTGCCCAAATCTGTGGAAGATGATCCTGCAACAGCAAGATGCCTGAAAGTCGGAAAATTGCCTATTGATGTAAGAATTTAAGAATTTAGTTATGAGGGGGTAATTTATATCCAGTTAGAGGTGCAAACCAATCAATAAAACTTTAACATTAGATAACTTTAGATTTTGTTGGTGAAATACTGCATTTCCTTACAGTCACTAATTTGGTGGACTGTGTGCTTATGTGCCCAATGTTGAAGTCTTGAGCATGTACAGCAGCAGTGTTGAGACAAGGTGCAAAAGATCCATCCATGTGAAAGCTCCTGGCTCTCTTGTCCTGTAGCGTCTGTACAAGGAGAACTATGAGAAGACGAAGGCCAAGGTGCACATTCTGCCAGACATGCTGGAGATCGTTGCTGCTAAAAACACCCAGAAGATGATCAGTGAGATCGACTACCGCAAACGTCTTCACGAATGGATCTGCCTGCCCGATCTGCAGATCCACATGCACGCCCGCAAGGTCAACGAGCAGCTCAGCGATGTGAGTACCACGCTTGGAGAAACCGATGCAACTGTCACTAGTGAGATTCGTCTCACAATCCTAGTCTTTGGGCGGTTCATTAGAAAGTTGCTCTTAACAGCTTTTGGCTGAGTTTCGCCCCCTGCTCTGTCTGTCCTGTCTTCTTCCATACAACACCCTGTCTGCCAGACTGCATTGCGAATAAACGAATTTGCGCATGTTAAATTTACAGATTTGGAGATGCTACTTTTACCTGAACATCACTCGGCAGAATAAAATGAGCTGAAAAGCCTGAACACCTTTCCAAAAAGCCATAGCTCTAAAACACAATTCACACAGTATTATTAAATTCAAGGAATGGGTAAAGGGTATTCCATTGCGACCTGCATCTAACAATGTTCTCTCTTATTCTCCAGATTACATACAAGGACGATCTGAACTGGATGAAGGGCATTGGGTGTAATGTCTGGGATACCCCTGAGATTCTCCGCACCAAGCACTCCTATGAACTCCAGAGCGACGTGAGTGCTCTCCGGCCACCAACATTTTTCCCTCGACTTCTGTCATTCATTTTGTTAAATGAGAAAATCACATTGGCAGGATTTTACCTAAGACCCATAGGAAGATACACATCGTGTGCATTCTTGCTTCTTTCAGCTCAAATATAAGGCCAAGGCTGAAGAACAGAAGAAGAACTTCACTGTGGTGACAGACACTCCTACCTACGTGCAGGCTGTGATCAGTGCCAACCAGCTGAGCGATGTGAGCACCTTGACGTCTTTAGCACTCAAGAGGAAAAAGGACATTCGTTATTCTCTTTGTTCTTCATGATTCCGACTTCCGTTAAGTGCATCGCATTCGTGATCTGTGTGTCTCTCTCGTATCTGTTGATCCGTGACGTCACTTTCTGTGTTTGCAGCTTGTCTACCGCCATGACTACGTGAAGAATGTCAAGGGCACAAACACGGCACCTGCTGTCACTGTGGATCTCGAAAGGGCCAGGGAAGCCAACAAGATCCAGAGCGACGTAGGTTGAAAAGAAACATACCCCCTAGATAAGCGCACTGTCAGAGAGACCGTGCACAGTCACCCTAGATAACTGCTGGCTTAAGTTTCATTGTTCTTTTAGAATTGCCAATGGCAGGATCTGTAACAAGTTCTAAAGACTGATGTGCCGTTCTCTTTCCTACCCTCAGAATTTGTATAAAGAAGCCAACTATCACTTAATGCCCACGGGATACACCCTTCCTCCGGACACCCCAGCGAATCTACAGGCCAAGAAGTGCAGCATCATTAACAGCAATGTAAGATCCCACATTCCAGCTGTGCTTCCCAAAACAGACAAAACGTAATTCAGCTGAGCCGACATGATAGCTTGTTTAGGAATAGCTCCTTAAGGATTGCAGGAGTGCTGAACAAGTTACTGAAGCTGTTACCATGGCTGTTTTTAAGAATACTGGGAGATGCTCGGATCAATTAGCTACCATTCAGTTACATGTAGCTACAATTAGCAAGCCAGACAAGCCAAAAGGCTGCCTCTTGTTTGCAGCCTTTCTTATGTTGTAATCCTTATTTTAGAATTAAAACAATTCCCTCCCCCTCTTATTGTAATAGATTAATGCTCTGGATGTTTATCAGTAGATTTTTCATTTCGTTGTGAGCTATCTGTTGTAATGGTTTTTAGATGATGTGTTTCTTAATCAACAGCATCATTACATGCAGACATAAGGCTAAGACCTACTTTTCTCTGTTTTCACAGCAAAAATACAAGGAGGCCTTTGAGCTGGTGAAAGCGAAAAGTTACACTGTTCCCCATGACAGTGTGAACTTTGTCAATTTGAGGAAAGTGAATGAGTCTATAAATGAGGTAGGGTCCCAGTAAGCTCAGTGCTTTCTCTTATCTAGCATCTGTGGAGAAGACTAACACAACGCAACTATTCTTTCAGAAATATCATGGTGAGAAGTTCAGATATTCGCACCATGTATTTTTCATTTTACACTTATTTCCTCTTGAAACCTGTTGACTTCATTTTCATGTGATTTTACTTTACAATGATGCTTGCTGTGAGAATGTAGCATGTAAAAAAAAATGGACTGTTCAAAATGTATTCATAGCAGAGCTGGGCGATATACTGTATAACATACAGTATGCCTTTAAGTATAGAGTACCTAAAAAATACAGAAATATTACTACACACAAAGCAAAACAAGTCACTTTATCTTGATTAGACAAGCTCCGTGTTTCTGATTACGACGTTGTGTGTTACAGATGAATGAAAGGGTGCAGTTTCTTAGTGTTTGTGTTTCTTCTGCAGCGCTTGTACCGCCAACTGTATGAACGCACAAAGGACAAGATTCATTCCGTCTACGATACTCCTGAGATCAAGCAGGTTAAAGCCACCCAGGAGGCCATCAGTGATGTACGTCTCAGTTTAGTTTGCTTTACAATTTACTGATCCCTGTTTTAAAGGAGCATCAGACATTAGAGTCTTTTCCCATGTTGGTTCTGTTTGTTGGACTATGGTTCCCACAGTGGATCCTCAGTGTCCTCGATCCTTATTTTTTTCCATAAAACATTTAGAAATTGTCATTATTTAATCCGACAGATTTGTCAATCATGTCAATCATGTATACATAATGTAATAAATGTAATAAACGATAATGTAATAAACAGCATGTTTACTCCATTGTACTTTTTGGACAATCAGTCTGTATGAACCTATGCACATTTTGCACATATTTTATTGTTTTTACAGTGACTATGATCAGCACATTTTGCACACACCTATGTATTTATTTATTTTTATTTATCTTGTTTGTCTTTTGTTTTATAACTATTCTGATGTCTGTTTTGCTTGTCTTGGACTGCTGTAACACATCAATTTCCCTACGGGATTAATAAAGTATTATCTATCTGTCTAATGTAATAATGTATAAATGTGTTTTTATTCTTTCACAGCTCTGCTACAAGGAAAAATACTTTAACATGAGGGGCAACCTTATTTCCATGCCAACAACCCCAGAGCTGATGCACTGCCGCTATGTTAACGATATCACCAGTGATGTAGGTCTATTAAAATGTAAAGTGTGTGTGTGTTTGCCTACAGTTATGTAAATTGAACTGTTTTTGTTCTTCCAGGACTGCATGGAATATGGATTGCAAGTATAGAGATTGCATTAAATATTATATTATAGAGAACATTAAAAATTGTAATTGTTATAATCTGGTCTCACAAGCAAATGTACCAAACTGTTTCTAAATACTTGCTTTTAGTAATAACCAGTCCTTTATTCACTGTATAATGTAATGTTTTCTTTCTGCCAGTCCATACGGGGTGCTTTGTTTCCTATCACCGACGCAGCAACTAAAACCACTCCTGTCCTTTTCCCCAGGTGAGATACAAAGAAGACCTGCAGTGGCTGAGAGGAATGGGATGCTTTCTCTTTGATACCCCAGAAATGGTCCGTGTCCGTAATGTGACAAAACTCCGGGTACGTCTCTTTATAAACACTTCCAAGAGTCAAACTGGAAACAATATAATTTACTTATCACAAAAAAACAGCATTCTCACAACTGCTATTAACTTTTGTATAAAATTGACTGATTCATGAATTATTCAAATTGAATTATTTGTGTTGCAGTCTAACTATGACACTGAGGCTAAGAAGTTGCACGGCAAATTCTCTGTGGTTCTGGACACTCCGGAATACAGGACTGTGACAGAACTCAAATCACACCTGAGCAGCGTAAGTATCTGTTGTCAGTAGAAATGAGAAACAGCCCTGAGAAATGACAAACAGCACCCAAAGTATATTACTTTAGAATGCCTTTGAGAAGGGTTTGTGAAAAAGTTCGTTTAAATGGAAGTTCTTAATTAATTTTAAGTGTGGGTGGGTGTCGACTAGGAAGCCAGTTTTACCTCCCTGTTCAAAATCAGAATTGTTAACGACATTAACATTCATTGCATCTCACGTGTCCCTCATCTTCCCCGTCATCTCCCTCGCTCGCTCCGGGTTCTCTCTCCTCCCTGTAGAGCTCCAGTCTACTCATTCTCCGCTCAGGGCTGGACATTAACCAAGCGGGTCAGGCCAAATCTGAGTTCACTCAGTAAACTTTCAGAAAACATCTGATTCTGGGAGGTCATTATTCCTCCTGTAATTAAATGATATATTTCAGGGGAAAGTGTAAATTTAGCTGCAGTAGGAAAAAAAAGTATTTTAAAAAAGATTAAATGAACAGAAAATGAGTGGTGCTATTCATCTTTTTTATTCATAATAATATTGGGTTTAACAGTCATATTATTAGTGAGTATTAGCAGTACATAATACTGACATCTCTGCATCCAATTGTCATGTCTCAGCCTTTCCTCTTTCCTATTTGTGCCTTTCCTCAGCTGGTGTACAGAGCTGCTGGCAATGAACAGAAGACAAAGTACACTCCTATACTGGACAGCGTGGACTTAAACAGAGCTAAACTGGGCCAGCAGATCCAGAGCCAGGTAGACTTCTACAATTAAATTCTACAATTAAAGCAAGCAGAAAGCTGAGGTCTCGTCCATATCTAGCACAACCATACAGTGTATTCTACATTATTGATTTAATTAATGCCCCTGTAAAATATCTGTATATTTGTATTGTTTAAGTGTAGCAGGAAAACAATTAGATGGAAAAGAAAAATTAAAAAAAATCAAATGGACTCAATCAATGTGTACAAAATCTAATCTAAACTAATAATTATCTATTCAGTAGGATCAATATGAATAACAATAATAATATGAATAACTATAAGATAAGGATTAACCTGGCATTACATGGGTCTCACAAAGGTTTTTCAAGATTAGCAACTTTTAATTTGTTTAACATGCAGACAAATATGATGTAGGAACAGGCATCTTAGGAGTATCTTCAAAGCTTTTATCCTAATGGAAGCTGTCTGTGTCTCCTGCAGTACCTGTACACTGAACTGGCTACTAAGGAAAGACCTCATTTCACCCCTGAAGCCCAGACTCCTGCTCTGACTCATGCCCGAGAAATGAAAGTTATCACCAGTGAGGTGAGAGTCCCGCACCTCTTGTGTAAAACTGATTCTTTGGGCTTTGTATTGAAGACAAGAACACATCGACATTTTGTAAAAAAAAAAAAGGATAATTTAATTAATGCAGTGAGAAATATGAGTGCAGTAGAAATCACAGTAGTGTAAGTTCCAGTCAGAATGAAATCATAGCACTGAGAGAGTGACCAAACATTAAACAAGTTCATGCATTGAAAGAAGCATTTTCTTACCTCATTAAATTTGCGCTCAACCCCATTTTCTCTTTTCTTTTACAATTTGCTGTGTTTTTCAGAAAAAATACAAGGAACAATATGAGAAGATGAAGATGAAGTACACTCCCATCGCTGATACTCCAACGCTGCTTATAGCCAGAAAGGCTTACCTCAATGCCAGTGATGTATGTCTGCCATCTTGCTTGAATGAATCTTCGTTATTGTGGTTTTCACTTAATATTAATCCACTGTTTGCACTTCTTCCCACAGCTGCGCTATAAGGAATCTTTTGAGCAAGCCAAAGGACATTATCGTACTGTGAAAGATGCCTTGGACATTATTTACCATCGCAAGGTCACTGACGACATCAGTGAAGTAAGTACCGTTGAAGTCCTACTGGGTTCCAAAACATAAGACTGACTTGATTTTGAGCTGCAAAATATTATTCCACCATAAGCTCTTTGGCGATTGAGCTCTTGGTCATTCTACACATCCAGGCGTGGTACAGTAGGTGCAGTCAAACTGTTACACATATAATAGTTTAAATAGCAATGCTTTGAAATATGTTCGTCTAATTTTTGGATTCATGTTCTGAAATGTCTGAAGGATTTTTACCCGTCCATTTAGACCAGTTCCAGGAGATCGGTTGTCAGTGAAGTAACAAGTGTTTTTCGATCTTTCTGCAGGTGAAATACAGAGAAAAGTATATCAGCTCTCTGGGATTGTGGAGATCTATTCCTGACCGCCCAGAGCACTTCCACCACAGGATGGTTTCTGAAGCAGTCAGCGATGTATGTGCCACGCAGTGAGAATTATCCACCTCCTGTTGGAGTGCAACAGTTTCACATAATCGGCTTTCCCCTGGTTAAAAAATAGTCTCTAAAATTACATTCATAGCCATTTCATTTCAAGATAACGTCTTGCATTTTGTTTAGCTGTCACTGACTTTGAAAACAGCAATGAAATTTGCACTAAGTGTAAAGTTTCAGAAATGAAAATCGTCAGGGAAGAAGAAACAAGTGAAAGTGACATGGCAGACAGACATTTTAGCAGGTGTGAGCTTTCTGTCTTTGCTTTGTTCTCCTCTTTATCAGGTCAAATACAAAGAGGACTTGTCCTGGCTGAGAGGAATTGGCTGCTATGTGTGGGACACTCCCGATCTGGTCCTGGCTGAGAAGAACAAGGAGCTCTACAGTGTGGTATGTACTGCATGGCAGAAGGAACTCTTGTTGTAGCTCCAACTCCTCTAATTTAGTGCAGACAAAATGTTGGGGCAGCCCAGTGACTGAAACACTAACAAATCCTCCACGCAGGAGGCCTACACTAGTAAAGGACATTTCTGTGCTGGGTGATAGTTAGTCTTTTGCACTGTGCTTCTCTTGCACTTGTACTTTCCTTTGTTCATCTGCTGAAATGCTGCAGCCGTTTTTTAATTCTGAAATAGAATGAATGAGGATTTTAGAATAAATTACAAGTGGTTATGGTACAGTAGTTAAAAAATTAAAGAATGTTTTTTGGGTTGTTTATAATTTACAGAACAAGTATCGAGCTTCATTTGAGAAGAACCGGGCAAACTTCAAATACACAGCTGATACTCCAGTTTACAGAACTGCCAAGTACGCTGCTCAGCTTCTCGATGAGGTATGTGGCATATGTCACCCATTTAATTTCTATTCATACAGTATATAAACTAAGATAGGTTACAGTTGGTTATACAAAGTTATTATTCTCATTAACTGATACAGTTATATTATATTATATTATATTATATTATATTATATTAAAAATGATAAGGACATACTGTGATATAGTTGCAATGTTTTTTTTTGTTAATTGAATAAATGTCATTTTTGTTGCCATGTAGAAATGTGTATTTAACCTACATTTCCTTCTCCCTGCTTCTGAAATGGATCCAAAGTGAGGTGAATTTTAATCCCCTCTTGTTTAACTTACTTTCTTAACGAATGAATGAGCTATTTCCCATTATACAGTATAATGATGTCTACTCCTTCAATACTTCCATGGTAGGAAAGTATTAAAAAGTATGATTGTAGTTTGCTGCCAAAAGCTGTGCAGTATGTTTGCCAGATGTTTTTAACCCCATGTGACATTCTGAGCAGAAGCTGTACAGAGCTGAGTATGAGAAGACGAAGGATAAGTACAGCATTGTTGTTGATGATCCTAGAAACCTACTGGCTAAAGAGGTCAACAAGATGAGCCAGGTAAAGTCAAAGGCCAGTGTCTGGTCTAAGTCTTAGCACTGGCTTGGCCCTGGCACTTGCATGAGATCATCTGCAGCCCGTGATGTCAACGTCAGGCTGGTGTGACATCAAACGTCCACGTCTCTCTTCAGCCAGGTGTTGTTCAGTCCTCTGCCATTCAAAATGCCCCTTTCATTTTGAGTGTGCTCGTCT